CATCAGTGTACGAACAAACTCTTGTTCCCTAACTTATTGGGGCACATCTCTCAATTTACCCCTCTCACGATACTCTAAGGACGGAACGGTGGGGACTCTCAAGATTGGAGTTCAACATTTAATAAGCAACTGTTCCATAAAGTGGTAAAAAATAAATTTCAGTGACGTCAAACAGGCGCTTAGAATTGTTTTTGCATATTACAGTTTTGCCCATCTCCGTTCGCAGACAAGTGTTACTGAAAGGGCAAGCCACTATTTGTTGACTTTTCTACCTATGACTGTTGCCGTAGTTAAACACGGGTCCCACATGATTGGATAAAAACACTTTTTTTTTTAAATTTTTTTTTTTTTTTGGTCTAAAATAGCGTGGCCAAACATGCCCTATTGGCTATATTGGATAACTCCGTCTCCATCCAAGAAAGAAAATATGTCTGCCGCATACAAAAAGCTAAGAAAATTAATGCTTGGTTGTGAAAGAGTCCAAGAGAACAATGATCTTGAAACCAAATTGCGAATTAGATGTTTATTGGTTAATGATTTTCCGTATATAGCAGATGGATCATGTCACATGTTCATATGCCATTTTGAATTCATCTTTATTCTATTGGATAAGTTTGGAATGATTATTTCAATTTCATGTGACATATTTCGTATATTGCTAACTTTCTTATCAAATATATTTGATTTGAATTTAGATATTAACTTTGTAGCTCATTTCTTGGTTTAGAAGCATATTTGATGTAGATTTTTTTTTTTTAAGGATAAATTTGAAAAGTGATATTTTAAATTTCGTGTGATTAAAAAGTAAGAAAAGATCATGATTTCAATTGTAAAATTATATTTTGAGAGAATGTGTATTGAAAAAAAATATATGATTTTTTATCAATCTGTATCAGATAGGGCCAAATTTTCAATCACATTTTTAAAATGATAATTTCAAAAAATATTAGCTATGATGTCCGCAAAGGATCGTCATGAACCTATCATGGGACTTAGCAACAAAATATTCCCTCACAAAAGTGTTATTGATAAGACAATTCGATTGTCAAAGTGTTATTAATTGGAAAATTTACTACATTTTATCTTTGTCATGAAGACTTTCAATAGACTAGTGAAAAGTTATCCTAGAAAATAGTCATACAAGTGACTTAGCAACAAAATATTCCCTCACAAAAATGTTATTAATAAGACAATTCGATTGTCAAAGTGTTATTAATTGGAAAATTTACGACATTTTATCTTCGTCATGAAGACTTTCAATAGATTCGTGAAAAATTATCCTAAAAAATAGTCATACAAGTGACTTAGCAACAAAATATTCCCTCACAAAAATGTTATTAATAAGACAAATCCATTGTCAAAGTGTTATTAATTGGAAAATTTACTACATTTTATCTTCATCATGAAGACTTTCAATAGATTCGTAAAAAATTATCCTAGAAAATAGTCATACAAGTGACCAATTTTGAAAGGATTTATTATATTTTATTCTTTGAAAACCACATAGTTTAAAGAAATGAAATGTTCGAATTTAAGATTTCCATGAATCAATAAACTAAAATTTTGTTGTTATCGACTGGTTCGAACTAGGGTCTGAAATCAACCCTCTTATCAGGAGGATGGATGGGTTGATTCAAGTGAGATTCAATGTGGATCCATCTTTCGATTTACTCATTGGATTAGATGGTTTAGGGAGAGACCAATGTTATGTTTCGAGTTCGGTTAGATAATAAAGATTTGATTTTGGGTTATGTTTGAGAAAAGATTCGTCATAGTTATATACGAATATTGTTAGGCGATAGAGTCAAAATTGAAATAAAGTAGTATTATTATAACAACTAGGTTGATGGAAAAAAATAAGACTTCTCACCTTGGTAATGAGAAAATATACTAAAAATCTATCATTAAATTGTTAGAACAATCTTGATGTTTTGTTGCTCAATGTACTAAAGATGGTCTAGAAGCAGAAAACGTCATTGCTAATATCTTTAATACATAATCAATCTCTTGTCCATATTGGACACGATATATTTTGCCCATCGATGATGTGGTAAGATGTCATACCACCTATCATGTCCTTTAATAAGGATTATTTAACATAAACGACAAAATGTTCGATAGTGAACTCACTAGGTTTTTGCTATTTCTTGTTTTTTTCCTTTTAGTCTATACTTCTGCTTTCTTTTATTCTTCGCCTTTTAGTCAATATTATTAGGCACTTTTGCTTTCTTTCATTTTGGGAAGTAAAACCGTTCAAATTATAAAAATGATAGTTTCTTTGAGATGTGATAAATAGTGTAGGCTTGACTAGATGGATTAAATTTAGCCTTAGGTTGATCCCTCTTAAAATTTTAATACATTTTTCCTTTTCTTCTTCTCAACTACATATTTTTCAATAGAATAATATTAAACGTAAATAAAAAATTTTTTTTCTTTAACCACACATTCTCTCAAAAACTATTATTTCAAAATATATTTTATCCAAATTTCTCATTGTAATGGTTGTCACGGCTTGACTGGATGGATTAAATTTAGCCTTAGGTTGATCCCTCTTAAAATTTTAATACATTTTTCCTTTTCTTCTTCTCAACTACATATTTTTCAATAGAATAATATTAAACGTAAATAAAATTTTTTTTTCTTTAACCACACATTCTCTCAAAAACTATTATTTCAAAATATATTTTATCCAAATTTCTCATTGTAATGGTTGTCAAACACGAGCTTAACTTGGTTGTTTATAAACTCTTCCTGTTTGGATTTCATTTTTGTCAAAATATTTGTTTATTTCTTATTTTCAATTATACATTTTTTAATAAAATAATATTACATGTGAAACAAAAGTTTATTTTTATTTTCTAATTATACATTCTCAAATAAATCACAATTTCAAAATACATTTTTCCTCAAAATTCATTTTTAATGGAGGGCAAACAGGGCACTATTTAATATCACTTTTTCCTATAACCATTAAAAAAAAAATCAATTTTCTCTATATTCATTTTTAAATATATATTTTTAAAAGAATCATTTTTATTTTTTATTATTTGGCCAACATAATGTATGGAGTAGTATTTTTAGGAAAATGTGTGGTTAAAATATATAAAAAAAAATTGAATTTAAATATAAAATATTTTATTGTATAAATGTACGAATAAAAATAACTAAATACGAAAAGTAGTTTTAAAATAATTTCAATTACACTTTTCAAAAAATCACTTTTTTTTTTTTTTCTCCTTTTCTTAAATCACTTTTTCAGAAAGTTTCTCAAAGGACTATAAGATGTAACTCGTGTCCCCTTCGTTTCCCTGCTTATCCAGCATAAATCATCCAGCTGAGGAAGATACTAGAATTGCATTCCTGTGGTAAGCTGAAATCATCCTCGTGATTAGCCATTAATTAGCTTCAATCCAGTTTCGTCTCCTTATTATCGGGGAATTCAGCGATCCATCTTCAATTTTCCGGTAATGTTTCGACTAAATATCCTGGTTTTTCTTGTATTTTCCTGGAATTCTCTCGCAATTGGCTTAGAAAGAATGCTTATATTCTTGGTCAACTCCAAATTTTCAGTTCTGCTATTTATTCGACTAATTGCGCGCAGGTATATTGGAATTATATGTTTTGAGATAAAACTCTACTCTTTTTTTGTTTAGCATCAGGTTTACATTCTTAATTCAATTCTCGTACTCAATACTGGCAGACGCGCTCTAAGTAGTAGTAGTTGTTGTTGTTGGATTTTTTTTATTTTTTTTTAATTCGTCTAGTTCTTCTGATAAAATAAAATTATGATGAATTTTAGATAAATTGATGAATAAAAAAGATATAAATAAACATTTTTTATGCATTTTCTTGTTGTAAAATTTATGTGCATTGAATTTCTTGTGCACGATCAATGGTCTGCACGAGTTGTACGTTTCCCTGGTGATATTCTGGTTGACTTTATGTGCACTTATTCTTTCTGGAGGTTTTGGTAATTTTGTTGTGTGAAATTGCTGTGGTTTAGTGTGGGAAATGACCGTTTTGGGTGAAAATGAAAGCGGCAAAGAGAAAAGTGGGCAAATATGATCTTGGAAGAACCATTGGTGAGGGAACGTTTGCAAAAGTTAAGGTTGCACAGAACACAGAAAATGGGACGACTGTGGCCATCAAAGTCATTGCTAAAAGCACCATCCTTAAGCACCAAATGGTTGATCAGGTATTCAAGTTAGGTTTTCTATAACTATCTGAGTTTACTTATGCCAGTTTTGCTTTTTTGGTGTTGAATTTTATGGAAAAGAAGTAAATGATGTAATGGAGAGCCAAAAAAAGAAGTGAAAATGGGCTGTTAAGATGGTTCCATATGCATACTTCTTGTTGTAGAATAATCTTATCAAGATACTTTGACAATGGAAATTAAGTTGTCTCAAAGTCCTATGCTTAATTTGGCAATATCAAGCCTTTAAAATAGAATTAGAGAACATTCATCAAATTTTAGTGGAATAGTTTAATTTTCCAATTCCCCAAAAAATGAATACTATCTAGATGTCATATCTCATTTTACTCAGTTAATAACTGCCCCAGCATTGTTCAACCTATGAAGCCGAATCTATAATCAACTTCCAAGACTTGAGGTTCAAATCGTGACAAAGTGCACTCGATTCTGCTTCAAACTACTTTGCGTTTGTTCCTTATTGAAACTTTTGAATCTCTATTATGAGATGCTATTGTATGTAGGTGTCTTGTGACCAGTGGCATAAATATTATGAAGGCCACTTAGCACTACCGTAAAAGTAAATTGTTCAAATTCACGTGGTCCACCAATATTAATCATTTTATGTATGTCATACTTAAGAGTGAGGATAGAACTTTAGAAGTCTGTCTGTAATGAAATGAAAAGTGTCGAAAGTTCATGGAATTGGTGTAGTTGAGGCTAGAGTTTTGCTGTCAATTCGAAAACCGTCTTTTGTTTAATTCAGTTTTATTTACTGAGAACGGTTACTTCTGCATATCTTTCTGTATTTTTCACATGTCTTTTGATTGACTTATTTGAGTTGTTTACCAGATCAAAAGAGAGATTTCAATAATGAAGATTGTCAGACATCCTTTCATTGTTAGGCTGCATGAGGTATCCTTGGATTGCTTATAGTCTCGTTTCAAGTATGAATTTGAATCTCCTTTCTATTGTTGTTTTATCCTGAACTTATCCGATTTTTCTGATGGCATTTCTTTCCCTGTCTTCTTCCACCTTATAGGTTTTATCAAGCCATACAAAAATATATATAGTTCTGGAGCTTGTCAAAGGAGGTCAACTGTTTGATAAAATTGTAAGTTCTTTTCTATTAATTTTTGTAAAGTTAAAAATTTATATTCCCTTGTGTCTTCATCTGATTATTTGAAAACTGCATTTCTAAGCCATTGAAGTTTCTGGGAAATGAACGAGCATTAATTTCTCTATGTGTATTCTTGAAAGATGAAGCAAGATGTAGAAAATTGAGTGTCTTTTGTTTATTCTTTTGTCAACAAAAAGAAATTATTTTTCTATTTTTGAATTGAATTGAGTTGCATGTTTAAGTGCGCAATATGTCACGGATCGCAAGGTAGCAACTTAAGGCTTGGCATGACATGGGAATGTCATGGCACAAAGTAGAAACATAAGGTAGACCTATGGCAAATAAGGTATAAGTTTCGGTGGTACATGACAATGAGGGCATCGCCAAATTTGGTGGGGGAATGACTTATGTCCCCCATGGTCGCAACTCATACGTCTAGGTTGCAGTTGGGGAAATCAGGTAGCGCAGGCAGTGCGCTACGACTGGATGAAAGTACGTGCGATAGGGGATACAGGTAGGGAAAACATAGGCATTGTGATAGGGGATGTAGGCCGAACCTGCTGTAGGGGATGCGGGCAGAACCAACACAGGTACTTTGGCAGGGGACGCAGGCAAGACCAAGATCCGTGGGTAGACAAAGCTCAGGCAGACTGCAAGCATTGTGGCAGGGGAAGCAACAACACTGGCAGACTGCGGCAGGGAAACGGGGACAAAAGTCAAGTTTTCTAAGGTCAAAACCACTATCGTGAGGATAAGCAATATCGTGGACTGTGGTCTGTGGTTTTAGATACAAGTAGGTGCCAACTTGTGCCAATTGGGCAACTTGCATAAAGAGGCTAAAGTGCAACTTGACAACTTGCTTGAGGAAGCAAGTCCAACTTGGCCACCATGATGAGACATGTCCACTTACACATATGAGTTGTAGAGATTTTCCACTTGCATGGAAAGTGACATGCTAATTAGCATAAAGTTGGAAATGGATAATGCACGTTGCAACATGACAACTTGCAAGTGTAGAGACATGTAACTTGCAAGGTAGCAAATTCCAACTTAGCTACCTTGTGGTCTGAGGAGGTGGAAGGTAACTTGCAACCAATGAGGACCTTTAGATCAAGATTAATCCTAGTCATTGATGCCAACTTACACACCATGAGTTTGATTATAAATAGAGATGTTTGGTCATTTGTAAATCCCATGAATGAGTAGAGGGAGTAATAAAGAGTTGAGAGAAAATTCCCATGGATGGAATGGGAGTAAAGTAAGGAAGAGTGATATCTTTATAGAGAGAAAATACTAGTGAGTTTGTAAATAATTTTATCTTATATTTATATAAAGAAGTTTTTCCTATATATATGTGTGCTCTGTTTTCCTCATAATTTCCTATTTATCATCTCTATTAAAGTTAACATATAATTTAGCCTCATTGGTTAAATTATTGTGGGAGTTTAAGGATGATTTAACGCTATCTCGTGGGGACGAGAGTTGTGGAGCGTTAAGGCTAAACGGTTCTATTGTAGTTCGAGAGTGACGAAACTGGCCCGTGACAAGCAGGAGTCAGGATACAACGATAGGGAATGCAAGTTAGAGATCCATTTGTAGCCAGTCATCTGTATGCGTGTCTATGCTAAATACTTCCAAGGATAGCTAACTCTCATCATAGTCTTAATATGACCAACTCTTTTCTATCCCTGACTTAGTGTTATGTAGTTTTCACTTGCAATGGTCAGGTTTGTAGATGCACAACTCTTTCTTACGTGATACCCTGTACTCAGGTTAACCAAGGTAGGCTTTCTGAGAATGAATCAAGGCATTACTTTCAACAACTTATAGATGCAGTTTCACACTGCCATGGCAAGGGTGTGTACCACCGGGATCTGAAGGTATGAAGCAGTTTTTAAGATATGATTGGATTCAGTTACTTGCATTTATATATGCAACAAATGAGAGAATTGTGTGATGCAATGGTCTCAAGGTTTGACTATCAATTGATTATTGATTTATTATTTTATTTTTTTTTGGTAATCCACAGCCTGAAAATCTGCTCCTTGATTCCGAAGGAAACTTAAAGGTTTCTGATTTTGGACTGAGTGCATTACCTCAACAAGTAAGCGTAATAACATTAAATTTTGAACTAGACAGTTTCGTCTACAATGGTGCTTTCTGGAACTCTCTATTTTGTGGTTACGACTGTCATCAACTATGTATTTATTTTTTCTCTTGTCATTGCAGGGAGTTGAACTTCTTCATACAACTTGCGGAACTCCAAATTATGTTGCACCAGAGGTATAATGTTTAGTAAATATTATAAATTGTTCAAGATGCATATAATAAAACACATTCACTTTGAGCATGCATCTTTGATGAGTTTCTTTGGGTTTTGGGGTGGTATCTAGTCAACTTCTGCTTAGCATTTTTGAGACATTGAGAATGCTTGTATTGGAATCAGAACATAACCTTGTGAAACTTGTGGTGTATCTCTGGTTTTTGATGGGTTTGAACGTGATAAAGAATCAGTAAATCAAAACCTCTTACTTTTTTTTTTTACATATTATTCTTAGAGAAATGTTGTTTGAACTATTCCCCTGATCTCAGTTTTTGATCTTTCATTCAGGTATTAAGCCACAGAGGTTATGATGGTGCTGCTGCTGATGTTTGGTCGTGTGGTGTCATCCTATATGTTTTGATGGCAGGATATCTTCCTTTTGACGAGATAGATCTTCCTACTTTGTATAACAAAGTTAGTGTGCTAGATTCCTACCTTTCAAACATTTATATATTATGCCCTGCTTAAGCCGCATTCATTCAAAAAAATACTTTTTTAAACAGTGATTTGACATCATTTCAACCGCACATTTTTAAATAAAATAATATTACAATCAAATTCAAAACTTTTCCTCATTTTTTAACCGCACATTCTCCATCAATCTACCATTCCAAAATACATTCTTTCAAAATAATGTGGCTGAAACACGCACTATATATATTTGGCTGCAGATAATCCTTTGTTGTCATCTGAAATATAAACTGCTTTCAGCAAGTATTGTCTTGCATTCTCATTGCCTGTTATGATTCTGGCAATTTATCCTATAGCATTTTCCTGAAATGCAACTCTTATACTGTTTCTACTTTCTTATCAGATGCCTAGGCATCTCGTCGCCTCTCTTTTTAAGCAACCAACCTCCATTTCTCTATACTAGTCTTCCCAGTTTTAAGTTATTTTGACATTTATGTCAGTTAAAAGCTCTCTGATTTTTCTTTTCATGTACAGATAAATGCTGCAGAATTTTCATGTCCATTTTGGTTTTCTCCTGCTGCCATGTCATTGCTGCATAAAGTACTTGATCCCAATCCAGAAACTGTGAGTATAGAAATTGTTTGTCATCTCAACATTTACAGTTCATGAAATCCTCCGTTTGCTTCTTCATTAATTACTCTGTTCACAGACCTAAACAATTTATATAGTTACAGATCACACACACAACTAAAGCAGGAGACATTTCCGACTATATTTAATTGCCCTTAGGCCTTAACCCAAGTGTAAGTGTGGACAAGTTAACTGAAGATCATCATGAATTAATATATTGTTGATGAAAGGTTTTGAGATGGACGGAAAAGGAACTAAGCATTCCTCTCAGACTTAGTTAGCGGAAGTGGTTTTTATCTTAGAAACATCAGCAAAATCAGATCAATAAATCTATAGATACTCTCTCAGTTCATGGAATTAATGATTCACCTATTATTAGGAATTTCAGTGTAATATCTCTCTCTTTTCCTTTTTTTTTTTTTTTTTTTTTTTTTGGCAATATGTAGGAAAACAGGAAAGAAAGAAAAATATTGTTTTATTAATGGTTAATTTCCTCGTTTAATTCTTTGCTGAAAATTTTGCAATATGCCACATGGCACTTGGTGATTTAGGTATTGTATGACATTAATTATCTAAGCCAGAAAGTATATGCAATAATTCAACTTCTAGGACATATCAATCTACTAGGTCCTGCTATATGAACATTTCATTTGATGCTTTTGAATTACATTATACGTACAAGTGCCATATAAAGCATTAAAATCCTTTATTTATTAATACTTTTTCGCTTGTCTTTCCCTTCATTTGCTGGCATTCCTTTTTACCTGTAGAACATATAAGGCATTGGAAGTTTTATGATATTCCTTATCTGATTAAATCGCTTGTGCAGCGAATTAAGATTGAAGGGATCAAAATGGAACCATGGTTCCAGAAGAGTTACGTGCCTGTGAGACCTAAAGAAGTCGGAGAAGTGAATCTGGATGACATTCGTGCTGTTTTTGATGACATTGAGGTTTGATCCTTATTTCAGATTTTCTTTTTGTTGTATTCACAAGGATAATGGCCGACAAGGGAACAAGTAAGATTTTTAAGTGAGAGATTTTCAGAGCTTTGGTCTTGATTCACCATCTTATTTTTTATATCGATTTGCATAGTTATTCAAGAATCAATGGCCTAGTGCATTGGATTTTTAACTCTAGCCATCAATCAAAAGATAAAAAGAGGTTGTCCTTTGATGGTCAGTTCAGTAACTCTCTTTAAAATGTATTGCTGTTGTTCTTTGAAATTATACAGGACACATATGTAAATGAAGAATCTGGGAAACATGACACTGGCCCTCTGATAATGAATGCATTTGAGATGATTACGTTATCTCAAGGGTTAAACCTATCAGCCTTGTTTGACAGGCATCAGGTACAGAGATTTATTTTGTACTGTGACAAATAAGAACTGAATTGAAGAACTATCAATTTTTTTGTCCTGGGTTACCCAAGGATCAGGGGCACTTGTGTACGATTATTGTTGTTATATACTCCTGTTTGCTGAAGTTTAGAGTCTAATAGGCTGTGAATTTCTGTTAACACAAATGCTCTCTACAATGAGCTATGCTTCTTTTGTAATTTAGAAAATGCCAGTTTTTCTCGAGCCATCCATTACCCCTTCACGTTGAAACCTTACTGCTATTTTCTTGTAACAATTTACATTGGGGGAAGTCTCTATTTTTCTCTCTGTCATCTTGTTTTGCACTTTGGCTAAGTTCAAAAAGAAATAATTTTTGTATTGGTCAAAGTTGGAAATATTAAGTTACATGTACTAAGAGTAACGTAAGAGTTACTTCCAAAACAAGTAATTTTTTTTAATTAAATAAGTAATAATACTCAAACATGCTTGGTGACAAAAAATCACTTATAATTAACTTTTACTTCTTTATAAAACTTTGCTAAGCATGCTCATGCCTCATTGTGGTCAGTATTTCTGTCTCACACACTGACACAGTCACTCGAACACAATTAAATTACAGTGAAATTTGGCTCACTCTATAATTTTCCATCTAAGTGGTAGTCCCTAGGCACTTGTGGAGTTGATACTAGCCTTGATGCTCATTTGAACGAGGGTGTCATTCTCAATTTTGGATATTGCACCAAGATTGATGTAGAGCATGTCTACTTATTTTAACTTCTTGGAGAACGCTTCTGTTCTTTTAAGTGTACACCAGTTAACTTGTTCAGTAACTTCTTGGTAGCTGGATTAAAATCTCTACCTCTCAGGATTATGTGAAGCGCCAAACTCGTTTTGTTTCCCGCCAACCTGCAAAAGTCATAATTTCAACAATTGAGGCAGCTTCTGAATCAATGGGGCTCAAGGTTCACACACGTAACTACAAGGTCTACTTTCCAAACTTCCGTATTATTTGTATCTTACCTGCCCTCCCTTAAATTCTGATGATGAGATGGTTAGAAACCAAATAGACAATAAAAATGTTGCTTATCCTCTTATATAATTATCTTTTATTGGCCAGGCGTAGAGCTCTTCCACCGCCCCCCCAACCCCCCGAGACACAAAATAAAAACCCATAAATGAAGGAAAAGGAATTCTCAATTTTATTTGTGATCATGGTGAGGCTTGATCAAATGTCAATAATAATCAAGTGGTTTGAAAGAACTCAATTCTAATACGCAATTCAACTGATGGAGATCGTAATGATATACCTGATGACTTACCAAGAAAGGATGCTTATTTTAGGAAGAGAATTACATTTTATGTTGGGAGATGATTCTTTATTTATTTTTTTTTTTAACCTTTTATATGCTCATGTAAATCATTTAAGTAACTATGTAGGTGGATTCTTTTGTTGTTTTTTTTTTTTTTTTTTTTTTTTTTTTTTTTTTTTGGGCAAAGCCTTGCACGTGCACAAATTTTAATTAATGGGTGGAGACAGAATTTGAACCCAAGACCTTTGTATGCTTCGAAACCATTTGAACCAGTTGATTTAAAAGCTTAAATAAGTTCACATGTATATCATTTAATTCTTATCTTCAACACAAAATAAAGAAACAACAGAATGAACCCTCAATCAAGATGCTGCTTTGCCAGTGACCAGTTCCAGTATGAGCAGTAAAAAAAAAAAATCATTATTTTTTTATTTAAAAAAAAAAAAAAAAAAACCTGAAAACAGTAAATAGGAATGATATTAGCAGTAGACACACTTTCTTGATGAACCAATTTCAGTTTCTTTTGGCTGCCTGAGGTTGTGAAGAGTTCTGCAACTCCCAAATTCTTCTGGCTAGATTTTAATGCTTATTGATGGTTTACCGCTATAACTTCTTGAATTCGACACCAGTAGAGCTTTGAAAATTTTTGCAGTTAAGAGGAAAATGTCTAGCTCTCGTATCATACTATGATTATGGTACGCAGACGAACAAAAACTTGTAGAGAGGGATACAAAGAGAAGGGGAAAGGGGAAAAGAATAGAAGAGAGAGAGAGAGAGAGGAGAAGAGGAGGGAGGGAGGGAGACACGTGAGAATACTTGTAGTTGAACTTCTAGTAAATAAGAATAACTACTAAATTAACAAAAAGAAATAAAAGATAATCTCTCAACATAAACTATAAATTCTCTTCCTGAAATAAGTGTCCAGTTTTGATAAGTCTTTAAGGGAATATCTAATACGTTTCCAGCATCAACACATCCAACAAACAAACTAAAAATTTCTCTAGGCTAGTAGCAAAATTTTCTAAATTCTTTATGTGCAACCAATTATTTCTGATCTCTATGATTAACAGACAAGACTTGTGGGGGTCTCTGCTAATGGGGCAAGTCAATTTGCTGTCGTGTTGGAGGTAAGTTTCAAATTTCAATCTGCAATTTCTTGTGAGAAGTTCTTGATTTCCACTTGTACTATGTACAGTAATTGTTAAATTGATTCGTGAAGGTTTTTGAGGTTGCTCCATCTCTTTTCATGGTGGATGTTCGTAAGGCTGCTGGAGAAACTCTGGAATATCACAAGGTTTACCTTGCTTTACAGTGCTAACATAAATCATTTTACAATTTTGAAGAATCCGGAGTTGGTCAACTGCTCACTGTCTTATTTTTCAAATTCTTACTGCAGTTTTACAAGAACTTATGCACGAAGATTGGTCATATAATTTGGAGACCAAAGGAAGCAATGACAAATACTGCTCTGCTTAGAACAATGACTTGCTGATCCAGTTCATGGTTATGAAGCAAATCACTGAGCACAACAAATAATATGGAGACTTTAGTTTCCAGGTAATATGTGAGTTATTATGTAAGTTATGGAAATAAATTGTGTAATCTGCCTATTTCTTTGAGGCTTTACAGACCAGAAATCGAAATCTACTGCTTCTATAGAGTGAAATGAGAAAGTTTATTCAGACATTGGCAACTATTATGCAAATCTTTTCGCGGTATTACATAATTACTGGTAATAATAAGGGTGAAATTGAAGTACTCAGAAAAAGTATATACTGTCTGTTTTTTTGTGCCTTCGGAGGAAGATTTCGATAATAATTTCTGGACTTTATTGATATGTGTTGGTACTTGGTATATAGTACTAGATAAGATTTTAACAGTTCAATAAATGAAGCATTATTTCGTTTCTTTCTTTATTACATTTCCACCTAATGTCCACATTGCGAATCACATTTTTTTACATAATTCATGTCTCTGTCGTTTTTCTCTTGATATATTTTCGATTGGTATTTCCTCCATTTGCGGTAGTTTTAATACTTATGATTTTCATTTTAATATAATTATTTCTATAACGAAAGAAAATCTTAAATAGTGTTATATAAACAGCTTCTGAAATGTAATTCTAATACTAGTTTAACAAACTGTTCATACAATAGAAGATCAAACTTACTAGGTTTTTATTTTTTTTATAGGTAATTTAGATAATTTTATTAATCAAAGGATAATACACGGGAAGTGAATTATCAATTTAAACAAGAAAGAAACGACATAAAGTTAGGCAGCCATTTTATATGATTATTAACTGCAGGATTAAACCAAGTATACAAAGTTAAATAAAATAATTTTATTTTTTCGCTCTGTTGTCTGTATTTGGTCTTCAAAACAACAACTGTTCCTTCTACCTGCACACACACACACTATACAATGTATTCTATAATAAGATCCCATACAAACTTAATGTTTTTATCACGAAGTTTTCTCCTTCATGCTCGCAACATGTCTTTTATATGCCTAGGCAACACCCAATCTATACGTTGAGAAGTCAGAATACTGTTCCACAGTCAACGAACATCATCATAATGAATGACATCACAATGATTAAATTAATGGTCAACTGTCTATCTATTCCTCTTACACATATACACCACTTGGTAATATAAAAAACATTTTCTTCAAAGATTATTCATCATTAATGCTTGCCTCCTCACAACTATCCACAATAAAAATGTCACCCAAGAAGGCAATTTACATTTTCGCTCCATCTTCTAGGAAAATGAACTCTTTAAACGTTCCAACATGGATATAAAATAAGTGCGAACTGAAAAAATAACATCTTGTGCCAACTTTTACCTGCTACAACCTTCTACTACCTCGGATGTGCGCCTCGTGCAAGGAGGGCAAAAACAGCGTATAATCATCTAATTTCCAATCCTATAAACCCCTCTAAAAAATAGTGTTATAACTTCCATTGTGTATGCTTAATACATCATTTACCATAGCAGAAGGCTCCAAAGCAATTTGATGCAAAAAAGAAAATATCATCTTTAGCGGTTAATTTTCACACCAACAATCATCCCAAAATATGATTTATTACCATTTTCCACTACATAACTTAATTAATCTCGAAAGTCACTCCATCCTCATTGTATATACTTTCACAAAATCGCCTCATAAGATCCACAACCTTCGATTGAGCACCAACCCCACTTCATCACACCATACTTTGCTCCTATAATTTCTCTTCAAAAATTCTCCCCCACCATTCTAAATCAATACAACCACTTGCCTAATGAAGCCTTATTAAACAAAATAAGGCTTTTCAATCTAAGCTCCCCTTCCTTATAGGATAATAAATAATATCCCAATTAACTAAATGAAAATTCCTCTTTTTCCCAATCCTATCCAAAGAAACATCTTTTGAATCATCTCTACTCTATTTGCCATTGCAACAGGAATAAAAAACAATAACAAAAAATAAGTAGGGAGATTAAAGAGGGTGGATTTAATGAGAGTAAAGCAGCCTTCCTTCAAAAGGTACATATGCTTCCACCCCGCTAATCTCCTCTCCATCATTTCCATAATTTCATTCCAAATATGTTTACTTTTAAACCTTATCCCAAAAGGGAGCCCAAGATATGACATTAACAGTTGCGCAACCCTATAACCCAATATAGCGGCCAACTTCTCCACATTAGCAACCCCTCCCATTTGAATGGCCTCAGATTTCCCCAGATTTATCTTCAATCCCAACACCACTTCAAAACATAGAAACAATCGATGAAGTTCCTAAATTGCTCATCATCGGCGTCGCATAAAATCAGTGTATCATCTACAAATAACAAATTAGAAACCTGTATGTGACCAACCGTAAAGCTCCTTCTCAAACCCTCCCCACAACTTTCTCAAACATCCTACTAAATGCTTCCATTACAATAACAAAGAGTAATGGAGACAAAGGTCTCATTGCTTCAAACTTCTACAACTCCAAATATAACCCTCCAGGTAGCTGTTGACTAAAACTGAAAACAAGCTTTCTGAATATCGAGCTTAGATAACATCCCTAGACTCCCAGTTGCAATCTTGAGTCAATGCATTCATTCGCTATAAACATATAATCCACGATCTGCGCCCTTTCACAAAAGCATTCTAAAACTTAGACACTACTTTCCCCAACACCTCTTTTAATCTATTCGCCAAAACCTTCGCAATAATCTTGTATACCCTACTGACTAAGCTAATAAGGCAAAAATTCTTAATGTCAACCACTCCCAATTTCTTGGGAATCAGCAGAATAAATGTAGTATTAGAATTTCTTAGGAACATACCACACTAAAAAAAAACATGTAAGAACATCCATAATATCCGATCGCAACACCTCCCAACAAGCCTTATAAAATGCAAAAAAGAAATTGTTTGTTCATGGGGCCTTATCATCATTCATATTGAATACCACCTCCCTAATTTCATATTCCCTAAATGGTATCTGTAACCAATTGGCATTCTCCTCCGTGATAGTAGAAAAATTAAGTCACTCCAACTCTGAGCTCTACTTAAACTATTCCCGATAAAGATTTTGATAAAATCTCACAATTTTAGGTCCCAATATCATGTGGATCCTCATAAGTAACCTCATCTATCTCCAACAATGTGATAAAATTGTTGCGCCTATTAAAATTTGCGACCCTATGGAAAGACTTGATGCATTTGTCCCTCTCTTTCAATTCTGGCACAAAGCAATCTCCTCCATCTACACTAATCTCTCCAACTCTTCCCTTAACGCTATATCTCTGCCTCTCCTCCCCAACTAACCATCGACTCTCCTCTCGCCTATCTAACTCTTTCATGCCTAGAAAACACCTGTTTTTACGCCAGTTTGGATTGCCTACCACCTGCTCATTCAATCTCTTTAAATCCCATTTTAAAGCCTTCAACTTTTGATCCAACACATAACTGGGAGACCCCTGGAAATCATAAGTGGCCAACCAAGTCCATACACGCTCCTCAAAACCTTCGACTTTTAACGACATCTTCTCAAACCTAAAAGGCTTTCTTCCACTAACCCTCATATTCCTAGATAACGAAATAGGAAAATGATTAGAGTACACATTCCCTAATCCCCTCTTGAGCAACACCTGAGTACTTAGCCTCCCATTCTCCACTGACTAAGAATCGGTCTATTCGAGATTGAACACGTTGATTCTGATTAGATAACCAAGTAAAATCTTCATAATCATGGACAAATCCACATTCCCGCTAATAAAGTCTGAGCAAGTTAGTCTCCCACCACTAGACCTCTCAATAGGAAATTAAACCACATTAAAATCACCTCCAATATATGTTGGGAGATTCCACTAAGCCATCATATCAGCCAACTTATCCCACAAGCCCCCTCCACTTTCATTAGCAATGGGATCATAAACTCCTATAAACATTCACTGGAATCTATCCTCAATATTTCTAAATGAAAGCGATATAGAGAATAACCATAAACTGACTGACTCCATATAGAGAACTTAGCCTACATTGACTTCCTCTGTATAGAGAACTTATCCTACATGACTAGCACACCTCTTGAAGCTCGTGAAGGCCCTAAAAATTTATACCTTACATGCTATCCCCCCATAAGCTGCTAACACAGCCCTCAAGATAAACTCCATCTTAGTTTCTTGTAAAGAGACAAGGACCGTCCTCCATCCCCTTATCGGATTTCAAACATCTAACATTTTCCCCACATTATTAAGCCCCCTCACATTCTAGCATATGATTTTTAGGATTAATTTTGCAGACTATCATCCCTCTTCAACAATCCTTTCTTTGACTCTTCACCCTTAATGTCATTATTTACTGACCATTCGAGCCCTCTAAGTTCACGATTTCCCTTTCTTCTTGATTTACCTCCTTGTGTACTCATCCCTTGTTCCCTTCTAGTCTCTAGTTCCTCAAATAGTTGCAATAATCTACTTTCATATCATCACATGTCACACCAACCATCTTGCTGAAATCTTAAGTTTTTTTTAAAACCCAATTTGAAGGTAGAGGCCTAACTGCAATTGCATTCAAAGGATCAAAGATATGTCCCTCCACTTTTTCCACTAGTGCTAACCATTGACTATTTTCACTTCTCTGCACCATCAACCCATACCACCAGAGCTTTTTCAGTCTCTAAGTCCATTCTTGTAAAGACTTAAAATGCCTCATATTGTAAGTGTTCACCACCATAATTGTTGAACATGTTGCCTCGTTCTCCTTCACAATTGTCCAAACTAACTCCTTTGCAGTACATGTCCCATTTGTTGCTCATTCAACACTAATCCCTCTATTGAAAGAAACATGTCCATCGCATCCAATGTCGTCGACTCCGGATTAGCCATACTCGGCTCCCATTACTTAGACCAAAGTTCCACCTCCTGATCTGCTTCAATCCTCGAATCTTATCATCTTTATCCAATCCCACTACATCGACCCTATCATCATTTACGGAATACATCGCTTCAATTCATGCTTGATACTCACAAATGGGCTCAATTATCACCTGCTTTTCTTCAGTTTGGGCCAATTTTGATGATAACTCCTTAGGAACCAAACTAGGTAATTGTTGTCCGTTGACTGGAGACTCCTCCATGCCCACTCCACATTTATGACAACAAATCAGTTTGGAGCCTACTTCGAACCCACTTTCCACTAGCCTAATTAACTTATCCAATTCCACTTTCAACACCTAGACATGGGCTCTTACTTCAACAATATTCAAAAAACTAACATGTGTACCTTTTGCATTTGCTTCTACAAATTTATGCATCGTTTGTTGAGGGTTGCTCACATTAACCACCCTATCCTTTTGCAGTAGCACCCATTGATCGACATTTTGCGAAGCCTGTAAGTTTGTCGTAACTTCAGTATAGGTCATCCCTTGTCGATTTCTTTCGTCCACCATTCGACGTTTGGCTTTCTCTCCAGCAACAAATGAGTTTACAACTGCTTGAAACACATGAAACTAATGCCCATTCCGCTCCATTCGTACTTTTTTACACCATCACAAACTCCTTTCCGATGTCTCTCTTCATACTATGCTATAGTCAAATACCTATCACGACTGTTCGCACAACGTTGTGCTAAATAAGCTCTTGATGACTCGTTAAACTTAGTGACAAAATTTTCCTAATTACCAACCACTCTCAATTTATCCACCATATTCACCATCCAAAGTGCACCAAATCATCCTATGCAAATTGCGTTCGATATCTTCGAGCCCCATTCCGTCAACATAACAGTACCGGAGTTACTAACAGACACTGTGAACTCCTTTACCTCTACTCTGATACAGGAATTGAACACCATCATACTGTCTAAGTGAGTGTCCTACACGCCATTGTCTCTCCGATGGTGGAGTGACTTGTACGAACAGCCGATCAGGTGCTTCTACCTAAAAAATGTCAGTCATGGGTAATCAGGATCGAGTTCCCTGAGCATTCCTCTTCAACCTCTTCAGAAATTCCTTTTCTTCCACCATTTTTGTCGGCTTCTGTAGCAACAGTGTAGGACCTATGATGTGCGCCTTCGATCTTCTCAAACCTAAAAGGCTTTCTTCCACTAACCCTCATATTCCTAGATAACGAAATAGGAAAATGATTAGAGTACACATTCCCTAATCCCCTCTTGAGCAACACCTGAGTACTTAGCCTCCCATTCTCCACTGACTAAGAATCGGTCTATTCGAGATTGAACACGTTGATTCTGATTAGATAACCAAGTAATATTTTCATAATCATGGACAAATCCACATTCCCGCTAATAAAGTCTGAGCAAGTTAGTCTCCCACCACTAGACCTCTCAATAGGAAATTAAACCACATTAAAATCACCCCCAATATATGTTGGGAGATTCCACTAAGCCATCATACCAGCCAACTTATCCCACAAGCCCCCTCCACTTTCATTAGCAATGGGATCATAAACTCCTATAAACATTCACTGGAATCTATCCTCAATATTTCTAAATGAAAGCGATATAGAGAATAACCATAAACTGACTGACTCCATATAGAGAACTTAGCCTACATTGACTTCCTCTGTATAGAGAACTTATCCTACATGACTAGCACACCTCTTGAAGCTCGTGAAGGCCCTAAAAATTTATACCTTACATGCTATCCCCCCATAAGCTGCTAACACAGCCCTCAAGATAAACTCCATCTTAGTTTCTTGTAAAGAGACAAGGACCGTCCTCCATCCCCTTATCGGATTTCAAACATCTAACATTTTCCCCACATTATTAAGCCCCCTCACATTCTAGCATATGATTTTTAGGATTAATTTTGCAGACTATCATCCCTCTTCAACAATCCTTTCTTTGACTCTTCACCCTTAATGTCATTATTTACTGACCATTCGAGCCCTCTAAGTTCACGATTTCCCTTTCTTCTTGATTTACCTCCTTGTGTACTCATCCCTTGTTCCCTTCTAGTCTCTAGTTCCTCAAATAGTTGCAATAATCTACTTTCATATCATCACATGTCACACCAACCATCTTGCTGAAATCTTAAGTTTTTTTTAAAACCCAATTTGAAGGTAGAGGCCTAACTGCAATTGCATTCAAAGGATCAAAGATATGTCCCTCCACTTTTTCCACTAGTGCTAACCATTGACTATTTTTACTTCTCTGCGCCATCAACCCATACCACCAGAGCTTTTTCAGTCTCTAAGTCCATTCTTGTAAAGACTTAAAATGCCTCATATTGTAAGTGTTCACCACCATAATTGTTGAACATGTTGCCTCGTTCTCCTTCACAATTGTCCAAACTAACTCCTTTGCAGTACATGTCCCATTTGTTGCTCATTCAACACTAATCCCTCTATTGAAAGAAACATGTCCATCGCATCCAATGTCGTCGACTCCGGATTAGCCATACTCGGCTCCCATTACTTAGACCAAAGTTCCACCTCCTGATCTGCTTCAATCCTCGAATCTTATCATCTTTATCCAATCCCACTACATCGACCCTATCATCATTTACGGAATACATCGCTTCAATTCATGCTTGATACTCACAAATGGGCTCAATTATCACCTGCTTTTCTTCAGTTTGGGCCAATTTTGATGATAACTCCTTAGGAACCAAACTAGGTAATTGTTGTCCGTTGACTGGAGACTCCTCCATGCCCACTCCACATTTATGACAACAAATCAGTTTGGAGCCTACTTCGAACCCACTTTCCACTAGCCTAATTAACTTATCCAATTCCACTTTCAACACCTAGACATGGGCTCTTACTTCAACAATATTCAAAAAACTAACATGTGTACCTTTTGCATTTGCTTCTACAAATTTATGCATCGTTTGTTGAGGGTTGCTCACATTAACCACCCTATCCTTTTGCAGTAGCACCCATTGATCGACATTTTGCGAAGCCTGTAAGTTTGTCGTAACTTCAGTATAGGTCATCCCTTGTCGATTTCTTTCGTCCACCATTCGACGTTTGGCTTTCTCTCCAGCAACAAATGAGTTTACAACTGCTTGAAACACATGAAACTAATGCCCATTCCGCTCCATTCGTACTTTTTTACACCATCACAAACTCCTTTCCGATGTCTCTCTTCATACTATGCTATAGTCAAATACCTATCACGACTGTTCGCACAACGTTGTGCTAAATAAGCTCTTGATGACTCGTTAAACTTAGTGACAAAATTTTCCTAATTACCAACCACTCTCAATTTATCCACCATATTCACCATCCAAAGTGCACCAAATCGTCCTATGCAAATTGCGTTCGATATCTTCGAGCCCCATTCCGTCAACATAACAGTACCGGAGTTACTAACAGACACTGTGAACTCCTTTACCTCTACTCTGATACAGGAATTGAACACCATCATACTGTCTAAGTGAGTGTCCTACACGCCATTGTCTCTCCGATGGTGGAGTGACTTGTACGAACAGCCGATCAGGTGCTTCTACCTAAAAAATGTCAGTCATGGGTAATCAGGATCGAGTTCCCTGAGCATTCCTCTTCAACCTCTTCAGAAATTCCTTTTCTTCCACCATTTTTGTCGGCTTCTGTAGCAACAGTGTAGGACCTATGATGTGCGCCTTCAATCGCAGCAAAAATTTTGGGCGACGGTGCTAGGGTTCCCATCTAGGATTGCCGCCTACGCTTGTGGTTTATGGCCGATTTGGCTGTCAATTTGTGGCATGAGGCCGGTGGGTTTAGGTCGTCCGGTGGGATCCCTATGGCTGTCAATTGCAACGACCGACGTGGGTAATTTTGGTTGTGATTGGGTGTTTTTGGATTGTATGGGAGGGAACTCCATCGGGAAGCAAGTATAAATTACTACAATAAACTTACTAGATTTTCCCAACTGACATTCTTTGAGAAACTAATTTCAGCTTTGAAATGAGGGGTTATCAAAAACGGGTGCAATCAAGTAGTCTCATAAATTGTTTAAGAACATGTGACTAAAGTCACACAAAAGATTAAACGATTTTTTTTTTTTTTTTTAAAGATAAAGGTCGAAATATTTTTTGAATAACAGCTTAAACTTTTTAATAAAAGTTCGACATGTCAAGCTGTGGCATATGGATGTGGTGATAAAAATTACATTAAAAAAAAAAAAAAAAAAAGGATCGATACTTTTGATAACGTGATTCATCTTTAATACGTAAACATGATTATTTAATATTTTTGTTTGGCAATTTGAAAATAATTATCGATGGTGAGATTGTCGACTATCATCAGTGCATCTCAGTCAACGATTAGTATCGATAATATTGTCAATATTTAATCAATAGTAAGACGTAACCAAAGAAAATTTGTTGATGTATTAATTCTTTATTCTCTAGTAAGGTATCAATGAATATTTTTCTGGTGATGTGAAATAACATTTTTCTATCTATAGTATCAATGCCGGGTAATTAACTTTTGTAGCTGTTATTGTACTTTCAAAATAATTTTTCGTTATTAATATTCAATTTTTATATTTTACTACTTTGTTTATAAACAAATAAACAATATTTCAGTCAATAAATTAAATTTATCGAAATAACAAATTGGAAATCCATTGAAATTTTATCTTCTATAAAGCTTCACTGACCATAGGAACGGAATAAAGTGTTATTATATGGTATGATATTACAAATTGAAAATTTGATCGTAGTCTAAATTATATTTACAAAATTTTTTGAAGGTAATATTTAATTTTTTAATTTTATTCTATTTAATGACGTGAATCTTATCGATAAATTAAATTTATTAAGATATCATTTTTAAAATTATAATTCCATTTTTATCTTAAAATTACAATTCCATCTGTAATATTAATTTATTTTGTGGCAGAATTTCAGTTGATGAATTAAGGGGTATCTTCAATTGATTTTAATAGATTTTAGAGTTCTTGTAAATTCAAGTATCACCAATTGATTAAAATTTAGGCGATTCATTAAAGTCCAGATGTCCCCAATAATTATAAGGATTTCTTAATAAAGAAGTTTAAAAATTTTGGATGGATTTCAAGTTTAAAAATATACACAACAAATTCTTTTGGGAAAAAAAAAAGACAAATTATATATTACTTTTTTAATTAAAAAAATGAAAAAAAATTTTTAACACTTGTAAAATAAAGTCCCTAAATGCCTTGCCCGCCCGGTCCAAATCTCCCATGGATACCTCTAGAGTTGAATATCCAATTGGGAAAAATTCAAAATTCAGGGGTTAATTATCACAAATTCAATTTTCAATTAACAAGTTTTAAAATACAAAATTCAAGTATTAGCTAATTAATTAAAAAAATTATTAATTAAATTTAATAAGGTCACGATTATAAAAATTACTAGTCACATATATATAATTATAGGTCACAACTTTTTTTTTGGTCACATATTGTCAAATTAGTTGGTTATAAATTATTTTGAGGTCACAAATAAAAAATTTTGTAGGTCACAGATTATTTCGAGATCACAAATCAAAAAATTTATAAGTCACAGTTTATTTCATTGGTCACAAATCTACAAAATTACAGGTCACAGTTTATCTATCCGTTACAAATTTTCAAATTTGTTGGTCACAAAATTATATCAACTACCACCACTACTTGCAATCACCCTCACCCTGCTATCATAGCTAGCACCACCACCACCACTGCGCCATCGCCATCACTGTCGTCTACTGCCTCCACCACAACCACCGTCAACACCTACACTTGCACCACCACCACCACTATCATAGCTAGCACTACCACCACCACTGTCGTCGTCCTGTCGAAATATACAATACCCAAAGCGAAAAATGGGATCTCATGACAAGAATGTGGCAATTAGACGTACCGCCCAATCAAATTGTAGCTGTGGAGGGCAGATTATATAGCTCTGGGGATTGCCTTAATGCATGGAAAGGTCATATTGAAGCCTATGATGGAAACCTTAATTTGTGGTACATGGTTGAAGGTTCACAAATCAAAGGTATTTCTGGGGTTGGAGAGAGACTATACATAACAATGGCACCAATTGGAAGTCATTTGTATTTCTTAGTAGGTTACAAGGTTGTGGGAGAGACATCAAGAACAATTTCAGTTGTTCAAAGATTTGACACTTCTGCAAGAGAAAATGCATGGACAAGCTTGGAGCCAATGGAGGATGAGGGAGAAAAGAACTTTGCAGCCATTGTTGTGTGGTCTCGTTTTCTTAGCAATTTTCTCTTTACATTTTTATAAGATTCAATGTCACCTTATGGGCATGAATTTTGGTTTACTCTCTACATAAATGAAAGCTTTATTTCAATACACAAGAGTTCAAGTATTTGAATCTTTTACCACCGCTCTATTGTGTGCATATCATTAAACACAAGTAGTGGTGGTGCTAGCTATGATAGTGGTGGTGGTGGTGCAAGTGTAGGTGTTGACGGTGGTTGTGGTGGAGGCAGTAGACGACAGTGATGGCGATGGCGCAGTGGTGGTGGTGGTGCTAGCTATGATAGCAGGGTGAGGGTGATTGCAAGTAGTGGTGGTAGTTGATATAATTTTGTGATCAACAAATTTGAAAATTTGTAACGGATAGATAAACTGTGACCTGTAATTTTGTAGATTTGTGACCAATGAAATAAACTGTGACTTTTAAATTTTTTGATTTGTGATCTCGAAATAATCTGTGACCTACAAAATTTTTTATTTGTGACCTCAAAATAATTTATAACCAACTAATTTGACAATATGTGACCAAAAAAAAAGTTGTGACCTATAATTATATATATGTGACTAGTAATTTTTATAATCGTGACCTTATTAAATTTAATTAATAATTTTTTTAATTAATTAGCTAATACTTGAATTTTGTATTTTAAAACTTGTTAATTGAAAATTGAATTTGTGATAATTAACCCCTGAATTTTGAATTTTTCCCAATTGGATATTCAACTCTAGAGGTATCCATGGGAGATTTGGACCGGGCGGGCAAGGCATTTACGGACTTTATTTTACAAGTGTTAAAATTTTTTTTTTCATTTTTTTAATTAAAAAAGTAATATATAATTTGTCTTTTTTTTTTCCCAAAAGAATTTGTTGTGTATATTTTTAAACTTGAAATCCATCCAAAATTTTTAAACTTCTTTATTAAGAAATCCTTATAATTATTGGGGACATCTGGACTTTAATGAATCGCCTAAATTTTAATCAATTGGTGATACTTGAATTTACAAGAACTCTAAAATCTATTAAAATCAATTGAAGATACCCCTTAATTCATCAACTGAAATTCTGCCACAAAATAAATTAATATTACAGATGGAATTGTAATTTTAAGATAAAAATGGAATTATAATTTTAAAAATGATATCTTAATAAATTTAATTTATCGATAAGATTCACGTCATTAAATAGAATAAAATTAAAAAATTAAATATTACCTTCAAAAAATTTTGTAAATATAATTTAGACTACGATCAAATTTTCAATTTGTAATATCATACCATATAATAACACTTTATTCCATTCCTATGGTCAGTGAAGCTTTATAGAAGATAAAATTTCAATGGATTTCCAATTTGTTATTTCGATAAATTTAATTTATTGACTGAAATATTGTTTATTTGTTTATAAACAAAGTAGTAAAATATAAAAATTGAATATTAATAACGAAAAATTATTTTGAAAGTACAATAACAGCTACAAAAGTTAATTACCCGGCATTGATACTATAGATAGAAAAATGTTATTTCACATCACCAGAAAAATATTCATTGATACCTTACTAGAGAATAAAGAATTAATACATCAACAAATTTTCTTTGGTTACGTCTTACTATTGATTAAATATTGACAATATTATCGATACTAATCGTTGACTGAGATGCACTGATGATAGTCGACAATCTCACCATCGATAATTATTTTCAAATTGCCAAACAAAAATATTAAATAATCATGTTTACGTATTAAAGATGAATCACGTTATCAAAAGTATCGATCCTTTTTTTTTTTTTTT